TGTCTGATGATCCTATTATCAGAGGCCCACTGGGGTCTCAGCCTGCAGTTGATTGTGTCTGATAGCTCTTGGCAACTATTGTGTGTTTTATCATTTTGGGTTTTGAGGTGGGGTGTGTGTTTGTGAGAGAGAGAGAGATGGTATCCATGCAGATCCCAACCAGCCTGAGTTGAGGGCACATCTCCTGCTTGGCTCCAGGTAGCACCAGCCTGGGGTCAGGTGTTTGTTAATTCCTGGCTCCGAGGTTCCATACCTCCACGAGGTTCCAGACTGGAACCTGAAATGTACTTGAGTCTCATAGACCCCAGGAAACTTGCTTGTTGCCTCCTCGCAATTGTAATGGTTTTGTCTTCAAGTTCACCCTTTTGCAGAGGGTGCAGCACTGCACAGGCGGCCGATCTGGGTGTGCGTGCATGTGTGTGTACACATGTATGTGTGCAATCTATTCCAGATGGGCAGGCTCCTCCTATGCCTCTGAAAACCCACTGGACAGTGCAAGGGCTCCGTTCCAACTCTGTGGCACACAACAACAACAACGCAACCTTTAAAGCCCAGGACTCTAGCTTTCGAAGACTGGTTGATGGCTTCATCTTCCTTTCTGACCCAGTTTCCTCCATTTTTATGGACTCAGCTCCGTTTGTAGGTAGCACCTTAAGTGTTTGGAGTTGCTGTCTAGGTAATCTGCTATCTTGGTCATCTAGTGCTGCTGTAACAAAAATGCCACAGGTGGATGGCTTCCAGCAGACATTTATGCCCTTACAGTTGAAGAAGCTAGAAATCAGAATACAAAGTGCTAGCTCCAGGGAAAGGCTTTCCTCCTGTGTCTCTCGGTTCAAGGGATTTCCCAGCACTGGAGCCCTGCTCCAAAGGATGCCCTCCACTCCCAGCAACCCTTTCCTTCTATCTTTAAAAAAAATAAAATAATAATTTTATACTGCTTACAAAGCCAGCTGTCCTTTCTTGATGACACTGAGCTCCCCTCTCTCGGCCTGTCCATTTTCCTTTTACCTCTTGTAAGCCAAAAGCTGATGCAGACGGCACTCCGGGGAAGCTCCCCTGATACTAGTTCAAGCCTGTGACCTAACTAAGGATGTTGCATCTCACCCTAATCCCCCAACTGATTGGCTGATGACACCTCAGGTCACATCATGGGGGATGAGTCCATCATTACACAGCTGCCTCGAACCCTGCCTCCTTGGCATCATGTTATTGTGTTGACCAGAACTTAATCATAGCCGACCCCCAGTAGGTTTTCAGAAGTTGTAAGTCACACGGGAGGGGATTGCTCATCTTTCTCCTTTGAAGTAGCTGGTAGGTTCATCCACCTGACTTTGGGTTGACAGCACAGCTAGGCCACCAGAGCTCCCTGTTGACATCATGTTGTTGTTACGTGTGATCTAGTCAACTGTGACTCATATGACCCTGTAAACAGGAGCTCTGAACCGTCCCCTGTCCTGAGCCTGTCTCACCATCTCTGACAATCCTGACCCCATTGCCACAGTCATTGTCAGTCTATCTCATCCAGGGTTTTCCTGTCCTGTGCTGACCCCAAGCATGATGTCCTTCTCCAAGGACTTCTCCTGGCAACATGCGCAGAGTAAGTGAGATGGAGTTTCAGAATCCTTGCCGTCAAGGTTGCACCATTTCCAGGACAGACCTGTTTGTTCTCTTGGCAGTCCATGGTATGGATGTATGTATGTTCACCGCTCTTTAGCACCACAGCTCAGAGGCATCAGTTCTTCTTCTGTCTTCCTTAGTCATTGTCCAGCTCTTTGGTGCGTAGCAAGCAATTGAGAAGATCGTGGCCTGGCTCAGGTGCACCTTAGTCTCTAGACTGATATTTTTGCTCTTCAGCACTCTTGAGAGGTCCTTGACAGCACTTCCTAAAGCAACTTTTGAATTCATGAGTGCTGGAGCCAAGAGTGTTGATTGCAGATCCAAGTAGGATGAAATTGTTAACTTCAATCTTTCCTCCATCTATCATTTACAACATATGAGGTAATCACATGGTACCGAGATTCCAGGCCGAACCAAGCCAACCCATATTTTGGGGACCAGCATGCAATCCATGACATGCACCATCAACTTGTTTATTGTTCTTGGGCTGACAGCCTACAGCAGAATTTGACCGTAGACTTTGGTTAGTCAATAGCTAGCCCTGTATGGTTATAATTCTACTGGATCCCCCCACATCCAGCTCACCACTTGCCCCATTTCTGCAGAGCAGCTGGTGGTTTTGAACCACTGACTTTTGGGTTAGCAGCTGAGCTCTTTGGCCTTGTACCATTGGGGTTCCTCTCACAGAAGTATAGAGGCGTCTTTATTACCTGTGCCTCTACAGCCGTGGTCTGTGAGCTAGAAGATGGGCTCTCTGTTGTTCAGCTGCAGTCTGTTCTTTATCTGTACTTGTTCCTGGTGATCTTAGCCCCTCTCATCTCTCACCACGTGTTACTGGAGCCATGTACTGTCTCACGTCCACTGTGCTGCCCTGTTTAGAGTATCTAGTCCCTGAAAGTTGACCATGTGTCAGCCTCAAAACTCTCCGCGGACACCCTGAGTCTCTTGCTGTGCCCACCTGTCATTGTCACCAAAGCACCAGCTTGCTCTCTGACATTGTGTCAGGAAAGATAATTCAAAACAGAATGAGACACTCAGGTCCAATTTTCCAGAATTCTGAGCTCTTTTGAGGCTAGCATGGTTTTCTGGCACATGGAGTTCTCGTCTTTTCTGCGCCTTTTCTACAGGTGTGGAGAACACTAGCGTGGCTGGCAGAAGAGAACAGGCTGCAATTTGCAGGTGAAAATTGGGTCAGCCACTCCTTAATTGAGTGCTTTTGATAAGCTGAGCCTTTTACTCCAAATGACTTTTTTCTTTAAGCTGAAGCCAAGGTCTGAAGTGCCTGCTTCTGAGCCTGGTGTTAGGTGAGGGCATCGCCCCCGCCCGCTTCCCCGAGTCACCCCAAGTCACCTCCCACTTCAGCTGAATGCTCCTGGCTTGTCTCTTGGAAGCTCCCAGGCTGGCCTGGCTGGGCCTCAACGTGTCACCTGTCACAGCGGGGCTTGGCCATCCACATGCCCTCAAGAATGGCCTCGTGGGGCAGTGCTGTGCTCACCAGAGCTGCAGGAGCCCCTCATTTCAAGCATCTCCATCAAGTGTGTGCCCACTCTGGGGGCTCTGGTTGTCTGAAGCCCTGGTTTTGAGACCGGAAGCAAAGGAACCATGGGGTAGGTCTCTGGAGCTCGACACATGGGACTTGCTTGGTTTTTGCCACTCCAAAGAAACACACCTTCCCCCAAGGGAACTCACCCCCATATGAAAAAACATGACTCGCTCAGTTGTATTCTCCACCCCCTGTAAGGGAACATGTCCTCCCCAAGGAAACATGACTCCCTCTGAGAAACCATGTCTCCCCCACCTCCAGGGATCAGGTCCCCTCCCAAGTAAATGTGTCTCCTCTCTGAAGCAGTGTGGCCCCTCCCAAGGGGACCTGCTCCCCAGGGACTGTGTACGCCTTGAGGGAGCATGCCCCTCCCCTGAGGGCACTCTGAGAGAACATGCCAGCTGTAGAGCAACGTGGGGACTGAGTGGTGTCAGAGAAGCCCCACCAGGCAGCCAGGGCAGCTGGCGGGGCGTGTGCGGCTCTCCCTGCGTCTCTTGGCAGTTCCTGAAATTCTTTGTGCTGAGGGAATATCTCACTCGCAGACACCCAATTATCCTGTGAGGTTTGGAAGACAAGCCTGAAAGCTGGTTACGCACAGCAGAACCGCTGCTGCATGACAACTAGTTAACACCCCGTCATAACAATTATGTGTAATTGGTGTTTGCAGTGCCTAGAAGATTAAACTCTTCCACACAGATATTCTCCAAAGGAGGCCTGGAGTGTGCAGGGTGCCAGGCCCACCCCAGGTATGTCAGGTGGTATAGCCCTGGCACTGACGAGGGCCTGGCCTGGTGGCAGGTGGTCAGGTTGAGGGCCCTAAGTTGAGCCAAAGGGCTTCCAGGTGGGAGTAAATGCAGCCCCACTGTGGCCTCTCTCTCAGCCATATTCTGCAGAGGCCAGCCCCCGGGGTGCTGAGAGACCAAGACAGAACTAGAACTAGGGGCCCAGCTTGGTCCCCTTCAAGCATTCCTGTGCAAAGGTCCTGGGGTATATAGCAGGGAGAAGGTGGGGAGACTCCCCAGGTTTGAGCACAGCTGCCTGGGTCTTGATGTGGCCTGTCCATATACCAGTCTCTGTAGCTAACCCTGTAGCCATTGCCACAATCAGCCCAAGGTGGCCTTGGCGGACATAGTCCTCTCTCCATCAACCCTGTGTTTGTTCCCTCTGCTTTGTGTCTGTGGAGGCTGGGTCATCCTGGACCTGCTCACCACACTCCTCGCCTCTCCTGGAAGCTTCATCTCTTTCATGCCTCCTGCCAGGGGCTTGTTTGCCTCCGGACCTTGTTGCTGGTCTCCCCTGCTCGGTGGGAGTTGATGGGGTAGTAGGAAAGGGGCTGCCACTGTTTGTCCTAGTGAGAGAGAAGCCTGCTGTCCTCTTTCTGCCCTCACTCTCTTCAGGCCAGTCCAGAGAGTGTGACCACTGGGTCTCTTGTGTTCCTCCCGTGTCTCTAGTCCCTGCTGGTCAGGTGGGGCATGGCCTCCGGACACAAGAGTTACAGGGCAGCACTCTCTCCAGCCCTGCAGAAATGTGTGAGGCCCCTGTCCTGGGCTTGTCTGCCCACTGAGCACTGGGCAGCCTGTCCTGGCAGGTTTGAGGCCAGTGAGCTCTTCTAGCCGCTTCCTGGGCCCTGCTGGACCCTCAGTTCCAGCCTCCTGCCCTCCCTCCACGCCGAGCTTTGTGCTTCTGTGGTTGGCTCCGGGCAGCACAGACCCCTTCGAAGGATGTTGCCTGGCCAAACTGGCCCAGGCTGAGGATTTGCCTGTGGTGGAGGAGACGGGTGGGGACATGTGCCTGCCCCACGTGCATGACTCCACTGTGATGCGGCCCCTTCCTCTTGCAGCCTCTTCGAGCACTACTGCTACTCGCGGGGTGGCATGCGCCACAGCTCCTACACTTGCATCTGTGGCAGGTAAGCTGCGTCACCAGCACCAGCTGGCAGCTGGTGGTGGGACCCCTTCCCCGCCTTTCCCCTCATACTTCCTCCTAAGACTCAGCCTGCTTCCACAGGGGGCCTGGCCCAGGGGTGGGGTCAGGGAGGGAGAGCCTCGCCCACCCACTGCTGAGCAACCCCTGCAGTCTCCCCTCCGGTTCACACGTGAGTCTGCAAGGGTGAAGGTGGTCAGCATAGGAGATTAGTGCAGGCCGCTTCTCCTGAGTCCTGCAGCCCTGCGCTGGTAGGATGTGCCCAGCCTCAAGCACGCACACACACACACACACACACACACACGTTAGTGCAGGCCACTCCTCTTGAGTCCTGCAGCCCTATAGGGTCCTGCAGCCCTATAGGGTGTGCACAGCCTTACACACACACATGCCCAGACATGTAATAAGGCTGGGCCGAGATTACTCTCCAACCTCATCTCACTGCTCCCCAAATTTGCCCACGCTGACCCTTCTCAGCCAGTAAGGAGCCGGCCGCTCCCTGCTCATGTGCGGCGCCTGAACACATGAATAATGCATGCAAACATCTCAGTCCTTAGAAACGTTCTTCTCTGGTGGATAGAGAGAAAAATCATTATTTCGACTTTTATGATTCCAGAGACTCCCGAACGGGGCCATAAATATTACACCCAGGAGGATTTTTCCCCTCTCTCCTTTGGCTAGACCTAAAAGTCCTTTTTTCCCCTTAAAGACATCTCTCACTAGGGAAGCTCTCTCAAGCAGAGGAATGAAAGGCCGCTGGCTTCCTGTGTCCGTCCAGGACTCCTGTGCAGCCCCCAGCACTGCCCCTGCCCCTCCACTCTCACGCTCCTTTATTCACCATGAAAAGATTTCCTCAGAATCCCTTCCCACAACTCTTGCCCCCTATTTATTTTCTTTACACAAGCTGCCCATTTGGGAAGGTCTGGTGCTTCTAATAGATAGCAGCTCCAGGAGCTGAGAGATTGGGGTGCTGTAAGCCCTGCACCACCTGTCCCTGAGCCTCTGCGGGGGGTGGACAGTCTTGCTGAGGTAGGCAAGCCTAGAAGGGGCTGCTGAGCAAGGGTGGTCACTGAACGCCCCTCCCTCTGCAGTGGTGAGAATTCAGCTGTGCTGCACTATGGACATGCCGGGGCCCCCAACGACCGGACAATCCAGGACGGAGACATGTGGTGAGTGACGCCAGCCCCTGTGCCACTCGGGCTGGCCACAGTGAGGTTGCAGGCCCACTGTGGCTAAGCTTCTCTGCCAGAGCCACCACCTCCTGCATGGTGCCTCCCTGCCAAGGCCAAGGGCCAGCACGCTAAGAAATCCCTGAGGGAGCCCTGTCTGGATGGCAGGCTGAGGACGGGCCTGAGCTGTCCCATCAGTCATTTCACCCTCACCAGCACCTCCATGACATGCGACAGGATCACGGGGCACCTTGGTCTGGAGCAAGCCTTTAACACACTCCTCCAGCTGTAATTCTGGGAGCCAGCACGTCAGAGGCGGTCCTCTGGACCCTCAGCCATGTGCAGTTTTCTGTACTCCATTCACGTCCTTGCAGCTCTTCGTTGGGGGCGTGCCCAGGTAGATGGGAGCAGGTTGTGCGGCCAGTTAGGCCGAGCACAGGGCCTGGCCATCCCCCTACCAGGACCCCTGGCCATGCCCCCACCACGCCCCCTGTCCGTGCCCCCACCATGCCCCCTGGCCGTGCCCCCACCACGTCCCCTGGCCGGGGCCCCCACCACGCCCCATGGCCGTGCCCCCACCACGCCTCCTGGCCGTGGCCCCACCACGTCCCCTGGCCGTTTCCCCACCACGCCTTCTGGCCGTTCCCCCACCACGCCCCCTGGCTGGGCTCCCACCACGCCCCCTGGCCATGCCCCCACCAGGCCACCTGATCACAGCCTGCTGCTGGCGGATGGTTTAACCAGCCAGTGGGAGGCACTGTCGCCACTCTTCAGTGTTTTCATCCCACTACTAATATTCCTGAGCATGGCTCCCGTGGAGTCGTAAAGGTGATCACAGGCATCCACAAAGGAACACAAGTATCTGTCCACAAACCCGCAGACCAAGGACCTTGGTCTCCGCTGTCATTGCCCAGTATTTGCAGGAACTTGCCCACCTCAAGCCCCTCCCTGCCACAGGGCACAGGGACACTTTTTGCTGTCACTCCACTCGCTTAAGTAGGTGGACAGGATGTTCTGGTTCAGGCCTCTGGTGGGCAGGACTCCAGCTCGTTCTTCTGGAAGGGAACAAAGCCACTCACCCTCTTCCTGAGCCTCATCGATGAGTGTCCTCATCAGAGTGGAGAGAACACAGTGGTGGGAGAGCATCTGAGGAAAGTGGGTGCTGTGCCAAGGTGCTCGCTCCCTTGGGGCCTGGCACAGCAGCTTGTGAGGTGAGGGCATGCAGAGGGGTGCTGCTGAAGGTGGCTGGAGAGTCATCACAGCCGCTGGAACCCTTGGCTTGGTTGGGACGATATCCATACTCTGCTGGAAGCATCAAGGAAGAGTTCATTGAGCCCTCCTATTGTCTCTGATGTCCTTCCTGGCCTCCAAGCCAAGACACGACATTGACAAGACACTCCTCTGTACCTGGTACCAAGTTTATCACCTTATATGGAATTTGCATTGGAAAAGTCAGCTGTGAGGGACCTCTCAAGAGTACTGAAGAGCAACGATGTCAGGCTGGAGACTGAGGTGCGCCTGATCCAGGCTATAGTCTTTGCAGTTATGTGCTATGCATCAGAGAATTAGACAGTAAATAGGGATGATAGAAAGAGAATTGATGCCTTTGAGCTGTGGTGCTGGAGAAGAGTGTTGAATATACCATGGACTGCTAGAAGAACAAACAGGTTTGACCTGGAGAGGGTGAAACTGGGCTGCTCCTTGGAGTCAAGGATTCTGAAGCTTCGTCTGACATACTTTGGGCATGTTGCAAGGAGGGACTGGTCCTTGGAGAGGGACATCATGTTTGGGTGAGTGGAGGAGCGGCGCAGGAGAGGAAGACCCTCAATGAGATGGATCGATTCTGTGAGTGGAGTGGTGGGAATGAGTGTGTTTGAGACGGCGAGGTTGGCATAGCATAGAACGGCATTTAGGGCTCTTGTACATAGGGTCGCTATGAGTTGCAAACGACTCGATGGCACATAGCAACAACATGGAATTTCTAACCTAATCCTCCTCTTGATCCAATGAGGTGATAGCTCATCCTCTTTACAGAACTGAGGCACCACATCCAGTTAGGGATCATACCTGATCAGGGATCCTGTCAGGTAAGGCATTGTGTCATTAGGTCCTATGTCCAGTAAGGGACCGTGTCCACGTGTGGATTCATGGAACCAGAGCACAGGGCCACTCTTTGCATCAAAGAGGGTGGGTAGCTGCAGGCCTGGATCACACAGAAATTAGGGAAAGAAAGGGTGGGGGTCCCCTGCCTCCACGCTGTGCCACTTTAGGTGCTCTCGCCCCTGAACCATTCTCCGCTGTGCTTGGAACCTGTGACCCAATCTGAGCTGGGAGAAAAGGGCAGAGGCTTTGGCTCCCAGCTTCACTGTGATAGCACTGGGCGGCTGGAGGGCACTGGGCCAGAACCTCGCCGTGTGAGCTGTGCTCCTGGGTGGCCCGTCAGGAGCTTCCTCCACAGTCAGGCCCTCACCCAGCACGTACGCTGTGACCCCAGCTCGCCTGGACACCACGTGCACCTGCCTCCCTGTCACAGCTGTGGGGATGCGAGTGATCCCAGCAAGCCCGCGGGTGCTCCCGCCAACCCAAACTGGCGACTCTGTGTTTCTTTTTCTAGCGCTAACTTTGAAACGTAGCCAGTAGAATAATTACGAGTTTATTATAGCCAATTTATTATGCAGCATTTAGTACAACATGTTTTGTTGATTACTGGTACTGCCAGATTGCTGGCGGCGCTTCGAATCCATTGTTTTACTGAAATTGATCTGCCAGGCACCTCCTGTGCTCAGTAAACAGTAAATCATTCTGTTGCCCTAACTTAAAAAGCCACAATACTTCATCGTAAGGTATGGAAGCAAAACAGGAACGAGATGCAAAAGTTTTCCTAACTCGGGATCCCACCCAGAATGCGCTGGGACACGGTGTAGGATTGTGCTCCGAGCTGTAGCCCTTTCACCTTGGCTAAGATGCCCCAGAGACATTTTCATATTTAGTGACGGGGCTGTTGCTTCTGAAAGTTGAACAGTGAATAGAAAGGACTGAAGAACTGATGCCTTCAGATTGTTCTGTTGGAGAAGAGTATCGAATATCCCATGAACTGCCAGAAGAGCAAACAAACTGGAGGTGGTACAACCAGCATGCTCCTTAGAGGCGAGGAGGGTGACCCTTCGTCCCCACATGCTTTGGGCCTGTTGTCAGGAGGGGAAAAGGCATCATGCTGGGAAAGGTAGGTCAGCGAAAGAGAAGACCGCCAGCAAGATGAATTACCACAGCAAATGCAGAAATGGACAAAGGAAGAGAACCCGACAATGGTTAGGATAGGGCAAGATTCAAATCCGTTCATGGGGCCACTTTGAGTCGTAGTTGGCTCGACAGCACATAACAACAACAGTGGGGTGTTTTTCAGGGGCTGGGAGCCCATCCTTCTCACAGACTTGGACATCTCCCTGACACATACAGGAAACCTGATGATAAACAGGCGTCAAGTTCAAGTCCCTGCCCTAGGTGTGTGGCTGCCTCTGTGAGCCAGTTTCTCCAGCTGTCAGTGGGGGCTCTGACAGCCAGCTCCTCACCAGGGGAGAGTTTCATGGTCCTGTGTGATGCCAGGCATGGCACCAGGCTCAGTGTGAGCCCTTGACGGGTGTGAGCTGCAACAGTGACGCTTATCACCTGCTCTAGGAGGCCAGACCCACCCCTTCAGTCCACTGCTGGTCCCGTAGGCCCCTCCTTAGAGTCCAGCGGGAGAGCAAAGCCACAGGCAGAGCGTGGGCCAGGCCTGGTGTGTTCACGGACGCTCTGGGACTGTATGACCTTCTTGTTCTCTTTAGGAACCCTCTGTGAATATGCCAACCTGGGACTTGAAGTTGGTGGGGCCTGCCTCCCTCTGCTGTCCCTCTGAACTGTCCCTGCTGGTGAGGCCTGGGAGGTGGACACTGGGTCTCCTGAAGGGCTCGTTTACCCCCTGAGAACCAAGGAGAGCATTCTGAGGGTGCTGCTTGTGCCAAGCCGGGGGTCCTATGGGCTGGATCCTGCCTCTTGCAGTGTATCCCAGGGTAAAGCGCAGGCCTTGGTGTGTTCTCAGATGTCTGGGGCCCCCTCTCTCTGCTCGCCCTCTCCTAAGCCTGGGGCCATGACACACTTACATTTTCCTGCTGAGTTCCTGTGTCCCCACCACTGAATCATGAGCCTCTTATTGTTGTGCATTACTGAATTGAAACTGACGTCACTGACCCTACAACAGGTTTTTAGAGACAGTAAATTGCACAGGAGGAGATTGCCCATCTTTCTCCACATGGATTCGAACCACTTGCTTTTGAGTTTTCAATGCAGCTCCTTACCACCAAGCCACCAGAGCTTCCTTCCAGAGTATTTGGGTTTTAGGGTTTTATTTTTAGGGCAGCAAACTTAAAAACCCCAACGTTATAAAAGTGTGGGAAGCTTTCAGATCAGTGCTCCCAACATGCTCACACTTTGGATGGTGTGTACAGTGATTTGAGGCCCAGAAGGCCCCTCCCCACCAAAGGCAGCTCCACGCAGGTGGCTGTGCACGTACGTGTGGCAGGCGGGCACCACTGCCCGTGTCTAGATCCTCGGAGCAGATGGACTGAGGAGCGGCGAGATGCCCGTCGTCCACCAGGGGGCGCCATCGTCCACACGGAAAGCCACGGGAAGAGTGCTCCGAGTGGGACCTGCTCACAGGCTGGCCGCCTGGGTCAGCCGGCCTTGCCCCACTCCCTTCTGGGCCGTCAGCAGTGTCACCCCACAGGGCTAGAAATGGAGAGGGGGCCCAGCAAGTGGAAAGCAGCTGGGATAACACCGCCTTATCTACGGCCTCTTCCCTAATGGGGCCTAGGTGTCTTGGGGTGACTTGCGACCCTTAAGAGCCTGTGTCCCAGAACGTCCCGGGCGGAGCCGATCTGCTGCCGGCTGGCTGCAGCTGTGAGCGGGACCTCCGTCACTGGCCGGAAGAGGGCAGTGTTGTCTCAGGACAGGTTGGCCCAGCC